CTCAAACTACCCACGATCAGGGGACCAGTGCAAGAAAGGTGGGAAGAATCACTTGCTAACCTCACTTGCCAACCAATGGAAGCAGCCGCCAAGTGAGCAGGTCCCAGCGTGTTCCCTTCCATCCATAGGAAGACATCGTGACAGGCAGGGTCAGGGAGCTCCCATGTCCACCTGGGGACCATTTACACAGGGCCGGAAACTGGAGTGGCAAGGCAAAATGCAAAACTAGCCAGTCCGAAAAAACAAATCATGGGCTCCTGTGCCGTGCCTTTCTCTGCTCAGCCCTGTAGAGAGAGGGCAAGGATACCAGCAGTGACAAGGGACAGACAGGGTCTGCGGGGAGGGTGGACGTCCTGCTAGTCCTAAGACCGCGAGGGGCTGACGCCACCCAGGCGGGCAGGAGCAGGTGAAGGTGATGGGGCCCTGTGGTTCTGCGGGCTCCATGACATTGAACTCTGCGCTCAGCGGGCCTCTCGAAGTCTGATCTCACTGAGCCTACCGAGGTCGATGGTCCATGCAGAAGCAGACAGTCCATAGACCCGGGGGCTCTTTGTCTTACAAGAGGTACAGCTTCGGAGCAGGAAGCACGTGCTTCCCAGATGGCACGGAGGGTGACGGAGGGTTGCAAAGGGTGGAGGGCCAAGCACCGGGCATCCCTCTGGGACCTGCCTTGCCCCTGGGGGTTAGGCTAATGTGATGGGCATCTGCCACATTCCTCCAAGGGATTACACTAATGTGTTTGATAGCTCTGTGTTGTCCTGTGACCTGCCGCCTGCCTATAAGACCAGGGGTACTGGAACCTGCCCCAGTGTCCTGTCAGCTCGGAGAAGGTGCACCGCGTGCAGTGGAGGTGATCCCGCACTGAGTCCTGAGACTCCTCTGGCAGATAAAGCGCCTAGCCAACTTCAGGTGGGTTTCCTTTCATTATCACCCTTGGACTGTCCCTCTGAGAAATGGGACACTAGCAACTAAAAATGGTGGGACTTTAGGCAGTGGAATAAGGGTTCTTCATTTACATGGTGGACCTGAGCAGAGAGGACAAAAAGACTCATGTTGTAAATGCTAATGGGGAATCCAGGTGTCCATATGCAAGGTAGCTGGTACAGTACTGTGATCTTTGGGAGCTGGGGGTGAGCCGTGATACAGACCGTGTGTCCTGGGCCCTAACTGACAAGTAGTTGAAACACATTAGCGCTGGCTGGTGTAGCTCAGTGGATTGAGCATGGGCTGTGAACTAGAGGGTCGTTAGTTTGATTCCAAGTGAGGGCACATGCCTGGGTTGCAGGCCAGGTCCACAATGGGGATGTGTGAGAGGCAACCACACATTGATGTTTCTCTCCCTCTATTTCTTTCTCCCCTTCCCTTTTTCTGAAAATAATTAAAATCTGTAAGAAAACACACATTCATTTCACATTTATTGGTAAGTACTTGACACTAGAAGATGAAGGGCAAATTTATTTATTTAAAGTAACAGTTTAGCCCTTCAGAGGTAAAGTTTTCAGATTATCATAGGAGAAAATATTTTCATCTCGGGCAATTTGCAGTTGAAACTGCCTCCTCTTATGTCAGATGGCAAATTCAAATTTCACAGAAGAGAGAATCTTCACTCTGCTTTTCTGATATCTGACGTACAGATGCAGGGAAGCACTGATAATGGTGTAAGTGTGGGGATACTGACTCTCTGTCTTAGTGGGGTGCAGGGGACAGAACTAACCAAAGTCTCTTAAGAGGTCACTCATTGCATTTCAGCAGGCCAGCCTCTGTTGTCTCACTTAAGAGTCCTGTCCTACTGCCATGTTTTCTGGCTCCCAATGGAAACTAAGAAGGAAAATCACATGGGTTGCTCAGTCTCTTGGGAGGTCAGACTTGCAGCTGACTTCAACCTGGGGTTTGGGGGACAGAAACCTGTACTGTCCTGGGCAGATGATTAAATTTCTTCCTCATCATCCTCACCAATGGCTTCCTATTTCCCCTCCCTGCCACTACAGTGGAGTCCCTTGGGAAGATTTTCTCTGGGGAATCAGGGTCTCAGTCAGTCCCATCATTTGGGGACTGGTCTAGTGGTCGCAGCACAGGAGAGCCAAGGGCATCCTGGGAGGACTTCCCCTGGGTGTTGAGGTTTAGTGTTGGCATTTGTGGAAGCACAACATTTCCAGCCCTGGGGACAGATCGGAAAAATCTGCTTTATGAGAAGCCTCATTTTGGTTGGGGAAAGCAGATTGTGTTAATTATTTAAAAAAGAGATAATCAGCTTTCTTGGTGGCTGATAGAATTAGGGATTCATCTTCTCATAGAATAAGCAGCTCACTACAGGTCAAAGTGCCACACCTGTGAGAAAGCTCTTCTCGAACTAAAATGAGGCAAGAAAACATTACTGACACCTCTCTGCCTAAACAGTCAAAAACCTACATCAAAATGGACAAGTTCCTTCAAAACTTCAAGGTACAAAAATTGACACATGCATTAGCAGATAATCTGAATATCCCTTTATCTTTTTAAGAAATGGAATTTTTATGAAACAAAGGATGGCTTTTGCTTAGGATGTACAAAGATGGAAAGAACACATTTCCACATCAACCAAACACACACCAAAATGCAGGTGGGCTGCAAATATTCAGTGTTTCTAGAACTCACCAGAAAGCGGAGCCACTGGTGGTTCACTCTCCACATATCTAAGATAAAAGTGGAATCTCCAAGAAATAGAAGACATGAGCACTCACTTGCCTGAGGCAAATTCCACCAGACACTGGGGTGAAACGATTCAGGGAGGTCTGTGAGGACCTTCTAAGAGCAAGTGTAAACTAGAAAGAGAACAGGGAACAGCTTTGGCATCCAAGTTCTTTCTCATGGACCTCACGAGGCGCTCACACAAAGATAACAAAACTCAGAAGATGGTCTGAAAAAACACCCCCATCCACGTAGGCTGGGGTGAGGGGGACAGTAAGTAGCCATGGGGAGAAAGGCACAAAATTCTGCCAGAATCCTTCCCCATATTGGAAAAACAAAAGCCTTACACTTCTGTTAGAACCGCAACAAACGCTTCCCTAGTGACTTAAGGGCAAACATACGGTCCCAGTTAAAAAGCATTCAGGCTGCACAAAGGAGATTTAAAACCACTGCCACCACCAAACCTCCGTCATTGGCCAAAGAAAAGGCGCACGAGGGGGCACGTGACCACAGGGCGTAAGGGGGATCACTGGGAAGAAGTGAAGCAAACTTCTCATCCAAAAAAATATGCAAGCCAGAAGAAAATGGAGTAGCATCTTTAAAATTCATTAGAGAAGCCACCTGACCCTCGCTTTTATGCTGTAAGAGGAATTCTCTTACACTAGTTCATTCTCTTTTCTTGTTAGAGGTTTATTCAGATTTTTTGCTTATGTTCACTCAGTGTTGGTATTTATGTTGAAAGGACTAGCATGTTGCCATCTCAGAGTTGCTTTTTTAGAATATTGGTTTTAAGCTGTTAATGACAAAACAGACTCAGAAAAACTTTTGACTCCATCCCTCTTCAGACAGAAAAACTTCCTTCATGAAGGGAATCTTAAGACATCTAATCTAAGGTGAAATAAGTGTGGTAAAGAAAATTTTTCAGATGGGAGACTTTTGGCTACATACCCTCTGTGTCCCAAGGTTTGCTGCCATTCTGTTCCTTTATTCTCCCTCTACCTGTAAGTTACCCCCTCTCACCCCTGAAATCTAACACTCTCTTCCCATCTTTTCTTCTTCTTTCAAATTCCCTTAAACTCAGCCTTGCCTCACTGACTTTGGGACAATCATGTGCATGTATTACAATTTTGACTTTCTCCTGTTAACCTGTCTCTGTTATTCTGATTATTAGCCCAGCCAGAAGAGATTAGAAGGTGGGAGGAAAAGTATTAATATTGTCTAAGCCCCACAATGTCTTTCTAGAAACACATGCATTTCATCTAAGACCTCCAAATTGTCACCATTCCGTTGTCTGTAGCATTCCTTTACGGCACTCTTTATTTCTGTAAGGTCAGTGGTAATGGTCTCTCACTTCTGGTTTTAGACACTTGGGTATATTCTGTTTTTCTTGGTCAGTCTACCTAAAGGCTTAGCTCTCACACTGATCATTAAAAAAAAAGATTTTGGTTTTGGTGATTTTCTTTATTGTTTTCTTAGTCTCTGTTTCATTTATTTCCATTCTAATTTTTACTCTGTCCTTCAAACCAAGTGATCAAGTCTGGGTCACTGCTCAGAGGACCGGCAGTTTGACCTTTATTGTGTGAAGGTACACATTGCATTTCATCAGGCAAAAGGTACACAGTCAACCCTTTGGGAACATTCCATGCTGGACGTGTTAAAGTGACCTCCACTGTTCTCATTCATCAGCATGAAGAAAAAAAGGCAAATGTGGGCATGGCATTAACTGGGTCAGTGGGAGTTGTTTCATAAATACACCACATGTGCTAGAATCAAGAAACAACCATCTGTTGGTCTACCAAGCAATGGTGTGCAAACAGTCACTTATCATGCTCCATGGAGTCCTAACTCCACTATTGCCAATAGGCTCCTGTCTTGTGAGGACTCTTCACACAGATAGATACACTCAACATGGCAGTGGTGTGTGCATCCTGTGCTGGTTCAGCTATGAGCTTGAGGAAATGATTCAGGGTCTCAATTTCTTCCAACGTAAAGAGAGATCATAAAACACAATTTATACGGTGATCACGTGTCATGTGAGTAGTGTACGAGGAGTTTCATCCATCATCAGACATGCTACAAATAGTATAGATAATGAAAGTATTTGATCAAAACTCAGGAGACATATGCATCCTCAAGCTGTTAGGTACCCACATATGCCTGGTGTTTATCAACATTATCTTTAAAAATAAGCAAAGACACAAAACAAAGGGAGAGAAGAAAGGGAAGGACCCCAACACCCATGCAATGCATGGCTTTCTTAAGTCACAGAACTTCTCTTCAGCTTCTTAGAATATCCAGTCCTGCTTCTGGGGCTGGGAGATCAGGCATCTGTCTCAGTAGATCCTCAGGCGGCAGCAGAAGTATTTCAGCGTGCAGCTGCCAACCACCTTCTCGTCCTCCATGCACACCTGTCTGCACTTGCCCCGGCCCAGCCTGCACGACTCACAAGAAGCAAAATCACCTGGGCCAAGAAAGAGCTGCTCATGTGCCTTTCCTAGGGCTCTAGAAACAGTGACAAGGTCAAGGGCCACCAAGGGGAAGGGGTGTAGTTAGGACTAGAGATGATGTTTTCAAGAACCAGCCTAGATTTTTCAAAGAGCTCTGCTGTTTTCAAAAAGGAGTTGGAAAGAATTCATTTTCCAACAAGAGCAAGGTAGCACCCCTGTTCTCCTTGTGTTTCTAATGCCACCTGGTCAGAAGGAGGCACCACCAGCATCTCAGAGATTAGAGAACCCTCACAGTGGCACAGAGGCTCGGCGATGACAGTGGGAGGGACCCCATGTGGTTGTGGAAGGACCTTGGAGGAGGGGTTGAGGCCTCAGGTTCAGTTCTTGTCCAGGTCCGGTAATGGCCATGTATCCTCAGGGAAGTACCTAACCTCAGCCTTCTCTGTCAAGGGCACGTGCTGCAAATATTGGTCTACATTTGAAGTTTTTAGTGGTGAAATGGAATAAGTTATGTGAGACTATTTTCCCAAACACTGCTCACTCAGTGAGCTCTCTTTGTTGGTGCTTAAAACAGAAGCTTTCCTCCGTGACCACAAAGAACGTTCAGGCAACATCCATGGGCCCGGTGGGCAGTGTCTTTGCCACCACAGGAAAATTCCTTTGCTCACCTGCTTCCCCAGGGCCAGCATTTAGGGTGTTACTCCTTATTTTCATTCCTATTAACCACCCTCTTCCAGTAACCTCAGAGCCATATTGACCCTTACAGGTGGGAGCCACCTGGTCCCTGCCCTGACCCCTACCCTATGCGCCCATGCAGCTCCTTTTTTCAGCCTGGCGTTCTCTGCCTCACTCCCTGCTCCTCACTTTCTGATGGCAGCCCAGCAGCATTCCTGGCTAGCCTGAGTCCGGTCTTGGGGCTCTGTCCTAATCTTGAACCCAAAGATGGTTCACAGTCATGCTAAGCGTTGCTTGCCTTGCATTGGAAAGTACTGTGCTCCCTAGGGACCACCTGCCTTGTCCATTTGTGAAGTTTGCTGTCAGAGTCAAAGCCATTCCCCCAGCTTTTGCTCTATCAAGCCCAGGTTCACATCACCCCCTCTTCTCCTCGGTGCTGTGCGCTTACCACACCTGTGAAACAAAGTCCCTGGTAGCTTTGCCTCTAACCTACTTTGGGAAGGAGGAAAGACAAAAACTGAACTTCTACCGCAGATGCCCTTCTGCCAACTTTAGATGCCACCAAACGCCTCCCGATGACACTTACAAAGAACCAGTGTCATCTTCTCTATCCTGTGCCTTCTCTGCAGTACAGTTCTGAGGCTCCCAGGGCCCTCCACTCCATAGCTAAGTCTCACACTCCTCAATTCCTTGTTCAAGTCTAGCTCCTAATTTTATGATTTTTCTACTGCTAAGTGTCCACGTCCTTCCTCACCTGGATCTTTTGCATGAGCATCTGTGATATAGTCCCTGCTTCTGTAAGCTCCAACTCTCTTCACCTGGATTTACAGAAGGCTGTGCTTTGGGGCCTCAGCCTGTTCTCCTGTGTGACGCAGGGAAGAATCGGCATCTTCAGCCTTAGATTCAGGTGAGACATGAAATGTCGTGGTGTTTCCAATCTGGCCTACTTCGGAGTGCCAGGGATTATCTCTGCAAGGCCATTGGCTGCAGCACAAGAACACCCACTCTCCCCCCATCACCCTGAAAACCCTCTCTAGAGATGTCTACATGCATGTGGTACCCTCTGGCTTGGAAAAAATGATTCCATATGACAGCACTTTTCAGGGAGTGCATGGTGCTAGCGTTCCATCCTGTGCTGCACAGTGTGTTGAAAACCCCACGTGCCACCTGTGCGTACGAGTAGTGTCGGTGCTACACTACCAGGCTGAGAATCACAGATTTAAAACTGAAGACTCTGATGTCTTCATTGGAAGCCTGGCTTAGCACTTACTATGTGTGACACCTGGGCAAAGTTTCTTAATAGCTCATCTATATTCCTGTTTCATTATCTGCAAAAATAGGTGGTTATAATAGTACCTACTTCCTAGGGAAGTTGTGTAGATGAAATGAGATATAATCCACATCAAGTTGTTAATAGACTGCCAGGAGCATAGTGAGAATACTCAATGACTAGTATCAGCTTTAATTTTTCTCACTCTGAAATTCTGTCTGAACATTTTTTAATTTTGTTTGGATTTCCTTAAGGACTCTTTTTTTTCCATTTTGTGTGTAATATGGTTTATTTCTATATAAGTGCACCAAAAAAAAACAACCCATGGGCTGTTCATTAAGAACAGCTCTTCTCTAAGGGGGGGGTGAGTTTTCACTGAATGGTTCTAGAACACTCCTTTATTGGATCCTCTTAGACCACTGGCATGCATTTGTCTCCTGCTGCACTGGATTTTGGAAAGAGCCTGTAAGAGGTGGACAAGCATGTCCCCAGGGCAATGCTCATCAGCCAGTCCAAGCTTAATCCTATGATCTGGGTTTAGAGCTAAAGTCAGTAGCCACCACGTCCAAATCTCTGTGGCCAAATTTATAATCCAGTCACAGAGAGATTTCCCTGTGAAATGGAAAATCCAGGTAGGATGCTGGGAACAAGAGGAAGAAAAGTCAAGCATTAGCAAAGTTCAGGCAGTTATATTTTCACTGCTATCTCCATCGCTCACTTGTCTTTGGAAGTGAGAGGGTGCTGACCAGCCAGATTTTACTTTACTCCCTAAAGTAAAATCAGAACACACGAGACTGAACTTACCTCCTGGGAAGGGCTGGGAATATTTGAGTCCTGCCCGGCACCCTAAATCAAAACAAAGCACATATTAGAAATCAAGATCAATGCAGGGAACAGTATGAAACAGTTTCCCCAACCCCACAAACCTTCTGTCATGGAGAGCCCGTCACAGGGGCTGCAGATTGACTCTACTCCTGGTAACCAGGAAGAAGTGTGTTTTTTTTTAAGGAGTAGCTATTTGCTTATATAAAATTCATCAGCAAGTCCAAGACAGTCCCATGAGAAGCACAGCAGTGAGCTGACCATTCCTCTCAATTTTAGGGTGGCACATAGAAGAATCATCAAACCTTATGCTCTGCCATCAAAATCCCACCCATTTCCTTTTACCTGATGGACATTGAGCCAATATGAAGAAAAGGACAAAGAAAAAATATAATAGCTTCCTGCTCAGGGCCATGGCTGGTGGAAGACTCTTCAGAACAAGGGTGCAGAGCCTTTTGGTGGGGACAAGAGGTTCACTTATATTTGAAAGCAATGTGGTCTGCTCTTGGTCAGTGAAGTGAATCAACAAAGAAAGCACACTTCCATGCTCCATTTCCCAAGTTCAAGGGCGATCATGATGGATAATAGCCCTTGGCCTCCCTCAAGCCTGTCACTGGGGGGCCCTGCCCTGGGGGAGTGGAAAGAACACCAGGCCAGGAGTTGAAAAACCAGGGCCATGTGCAGCCGTGCCCTACTCTCCAGGAATTAGGAGGGTGCCCCTCCTGTACCAAAGCAGAGCCCACTGATCTTCCGCTGGCCTCTCCAGGCTGCTGTTGGAACTGACTGTGGTGATGAGGCAGAGTTGGAACACCTGGAGGGCAGAGAGGGAGGCCTGGCCTGAGCTCGGCAAGGTGGGCTGTTCCTGCGCTGGCTTTCCTTTCTGTTGTCTGTACCTGTCCCTTGGAGAGAGGAGTGAACGCAACCAGGGCAGCCTGAGTCCTTGGCCTGTAACAATGTCAGGCAGGCACTATCACCACATCCTTCGAGTTCACTAAGAATGTGGGTGTCAGAAGTCCTAGTTATGTCACTGCACCCCCAAGTCAGTCCCACCCCATTGCCCATGCCTGCAAGATGCTCTGTCCTTCATTTCTGGAATTAAAAACTGGGTGATTTACAAATGTAGACTCCAACATCTGACAGATTGACTTTTTAAGTACATGACCTTGAACGGGGCCCTTCATTGTTTTGAACCTCACTTTCCTCACCCTTAAAATGAGGATGTGATAATGATATGTCCTTCATAGGATATTAGGGAGAATTACCTGAGATCAGGTAAAGTACTTATCAGAGTGCCTGGCTGTTGGGACTAGGACTCCATTCACTTTTCTCTCTGCCCAGCATGGAGCCCAACTAACCCTCTGTAAACTCCTTTGCAGGTCCACTAATTGCTAAGGAACTTTTCCTGTACTACAGAACTCGATGGAGCTGATCGTTGGGTTTGTTTCCATGCTTTGCTCATGGTTCAGCTTCAAGAAGACAAGCTAATATGTGTGTACTAGGGGCAGAATGGAGCCTAATGCCTTTCACCATGTATGCATTTTTAACAGCCATAGCCAAGCTGTTTGGTGAGCTCACGATGGGTGTGGTCACACAGCCCTTCCCCCACCTTGGGGTTTACTGCTCTGCATAGAAATCCTGGAGTTTACCTTTGACCATCTGCTTTGTGATGAAGGCTGATGGGGCCGGAGCCTTGGAGCTTGGCTATCTTATGTTTCTGCCAACCTTCCATCCTCACCTTCCTGGGAGGGCTCCTGCCCTGTTTCTGGGCCCACCTAGTCTCCTCTTTCCCACTCCCACTCAGGAACAGCTGCCACTACTATCTACCCAGGCTGGGACCTGGGTCTTAGGACACAGCGGGGCCTTGATCCACCCCTCTCTGAGCTGACAGGGCCAGAGTACACATGAGCCTCTCCCCTCTCCCACTTCAGTACCACTGCCTCACAGGCTGGACTATCCTTGGGGGCCACCCAGTCACCATGGTAGCCGAGGCAGGCCCATGGGAAGAAAAAATGCCTGGCCTGACTTTCTCTGGGGCAGGGCACACTGGGCCAGCCACAGCTGGCAGGAGGGGACTACTCGGTATGCAGTGGGGCCCCTGCCTATGTGCAGTGTCAAGTTGGGGCCCCTTCACAGGCACCTGTAAGGGTCTGCAAGTGTCCCTCAAGTATTTCTGGGCCCAAGGGAGTAGGATATTAAATAGCAAATAAAAAATGTCATGACAGGTGGAGAGCGTTGGGAGGAAGGGAGGAAGTTTCTGCGGTGGACAGCATCTTTCCCCTGCTTTTTGAGCATGGGACCATGAATTTTCACTCTGCACTAGACCCCGCAAATTATGTAGCTGCTGTTGACCGGGAGTGGACTTCCAGTCTTAGAAAAGTAAGATGGCCATTGCCATCTTGAAACTGCCTCGCTGTAAAGGCTTGTCCCCATCGTGGAAGTCCCAAGGCCTCCTGTTCCGTCACTGGCCACACTTGGCTCCCAGAGGTTGCTCCTCATGTTGTTTTCTTCGTTAGCTTAGAGCTCCCTGGTTTCTGGTTCCAAACTCAAACTCTTCCACATCCAACTGCTTTGAGCATAGAGCAAATAAGCATTTGTTTAGCCCTTTGGGGCCTGCCTGCTTTGCCTACCCCACAAGACTGCACCTGCTCTGTGCGAACCAACCCTGCAGCTCTGGAAGACTCCGGACGGCTGCCACCCTCTGGGTTCTCTGACCTCCAGCTCCCGCCTTGCTGCTGAGTGACATCAGCTGGACTCCTGATCCCAGGCTTCTCTGGGTGTTCCCTTGGCTTTGGGGTGGTGGCCTCAGGTCACTGTTTCTAGAAGGTCCCCTCCTGAAAGGGCTGCTCCCCCCATGCAAACCCAATCATGTTTGCTGGATGACCACCTTCCCCTCGAGGAGCCCCCAGCCCTGGAATTCACCGCACTCCTACCCAGAGACTTCACTCGTCAAATGCGCCTTCGTTTCCACGCTGAGGTGTGAACAGGAGGCTTGGGGCACAGCACGTCCTTCAGGAGGGCTGGGTGGCTCTTTGTGAAAGCTCTGACTCTACACTGTGACCCAAATGTTTGTGCCATGCCCCTGTCCCCCCTTACACACACACAACTCTAACGTTGCAACCCTGACTCCCGCGGTGATGGTGCGAGGAGGTGGGCCTTTGGGAGGCAAGCAGGTGCTGCTCCCTCATGAATGGGATTCATGTCAGGCCCTGAGAAGAGAGACCTGGGAGATTCATGTCCCCTTGGGCCACGGGAGGACACAGGGCAAAGTTTCTGCCTGGAACCTGGAAGACCGGCCCTGATCTTGCACCCACAGCCTCCAGAACTGCAAGACATGAGTGTTTAGTGTTCCTAAGCTGCTGGTGTCTGGTGTTTTGTTACAGCAGCCAGAACAGACTGAGACGGTGGCCATCCTGGTTTAGAAGAGCAGCCACGGGAAACCCTACAACGAAGGAGTGTGTCCATCACCTGGGGAGCCCTCACTGGTGCCAGACGAACAACTCTGACTGTTGCACCCCTCACTTGCTGACAGAGACCCACTTTGTGATGGCAGAAATTGGTGAACTGATGAGGTAATAAGTGAAATAACTGAAGCTGTGTGTCACTGAGACTATCTGGGGGGTTTTGTCTTTTCTTGGAGATTTAAACCATTTTCATGAAGTTTGGAAGGGAATAGAGAAAACTTGTATTTTCAGTCTCCCATTCTTAACTGGATCGTTCAAAATTTATCATCAATGTGCACAAAAGATGCTTAACAAAAATTTCATGGCAACCAAGGCTAAGGATAGATGGGATAGTCCATAACATGCTTTACAAATGAAAATTTTCAGTTTGTAATGATTTTAGATTTACTGAAAAGTTGCAAAGATAGTACCAAGTTCTTATGTTACCTCCCCCACCCACCCCTAATGAAACATCTGTGTTAATAATTATTAATGTTAATAACCATGGTACCTGTTCTTATCTAAGATTTTGAAGGATACTTAGATTTATATATATATATTTGACAATTAAAATAGTATATATGCACACGCACACACACATGGAATCTCAGTGAAGCACCCACTAAGCTCACAACTCTCCAGGGAGCCATTCGAGAATTACCTGAGATGATGAATGTGGCATTTACACTGTGCAGCTCATGGGAAGAGTCACCTGTGTAAAAATACATGGTGACAAGAATGCCCAGGGACGCAATCGCCAAGTGGGCACAGCTCAAAAATGCTGCAGCTGGCATGCAGGCTCCCCTGAGCCCTGGGCACCCCTGGCACTGACGCCCTGTGGTGTCATCACACAAAGAAGGGTGCTGAGACAACAAAGGCGCACAGGCAGGCAGGGTCAGAAATCCCAACTGCGGGGTCCCAGCTCTTGCGTTCCTGCTGACTCACACATGTACTCCCTCCATCCTCCCTCCATCCCCATTTTTCCCTTGGGAACTTTCTAGAATAAAAAAAAAACCCTGCTGAGCTGCCAACTCACACCCACTGAGGTCCGTGGGCTCTACACGGTGGAGCACACAGTCACCTCAGCTATGCCTCAGCGATCAAGATGGTGCTGGTCTGCAAAGACGTATAAATGTGGGTGTTTGCTTCATCGTCTCCTGGACGCGGAGCTGACCCGAAACTGACATACCGTTTTCACATCTCTCAAGACCCTGAACGTCATGAGGATGTTCCTCTTCCTCTTTGCTGTGTTTGTCTTCCTGGCCCCAGGTAAAACAAGCACCTTTGCAGGAGGGTATCGGAGGCTGTGGCCCAGGGAAGGGCTCTGCCTCAGGGAGGACATGGCCAAGATCAGCTCTGGAATGTGATGGTCCTGCAGGGGGCCATTTGCTGCAGGGGGTGACTGTCCCTTCCTGCCTCTTTTGAAAATCCTTTGCATTTCCCATTGTTATCCAGGAGGGGCTCTCTCAGGTGTGCAGAAATACAGGTATGCCCAGAAAGATGCCTTTTGGCCCCCAGTCTCATGCTTACCAACCCAAAGAAGAATTTTTAAGAAAAGATTAAAAGTGAGGGTAACCATCAGTGAATATTAAAAAAAATAGTTGTGATAAGGATGAGGACAGGTGAGAAAGACAGACAGGAAGTGATGGAAGACAAAAGGAACGGAACTTAGAGACACTCTGTCTGCACCGGCCATGGCAGTAGGTGAAAGAGTAAAGCCAGCTACCATTCCTCAGTCACTTGCCGCGTAGCTGGACAGCGTGACACAACCTTCACACAGTTCTCCAGTGCAGCGTATTCAAGGGAGACTCTGTCCCACCTCTAGTTTAGTGACGTTCAGAGCAACTCTTTCAGTTTGGAAGGACCACATAGCGTCTACTTTGCAGACACAGAACCTGAGGCTCAGAAGGGCTAAGCAGCTGCTCAAAGTCCTTCAGATGTGAAGGAGTGGCCAACGTTTGAGCCCCGCTCTGTGTGGCCACAGTGAGAGGACGGATGCGTCCCCATCAGAACTTTTGCCCTTCTCCCTGCTTCTGGGAACCTCTGAGGGCTGTAGTTTGGTTCCCCCCAGAACTGGAGTCTAAGACTAGACTCACACCAGGTTCCAGAGAACAGAGGAAAGGGCTTTGCAGGATTCACAGTGAGTCCAAGTTCACATCAGATGCTGGTGAGGTCTCCCAGGCTCAGAGCCTCCACGCCCACTGTGTGTGCCTGTGAGTCCGTGGATCTGCAGTAAGCCTGTGTGTGGGGTGGGGGGTGGGACCCAGGGCTCACAGTGAGCTGCTCATTCTGCTGGCTGGAAGCACATTGGAAACTCACCGACGTATCATTTCCACATCACTCACACTTAACATCTAACTAGCCAACACAATAAATGCTACGTGGTGTAAAGCTGATATGAGTAAAGGAAAACTTGCAGGTGTGACTGAGGTCCACACACCTGCACAAACAGCCACGTTGACTTCCAGGTAGGAGTCTGCAATCCCCCACTGGGAGCCCTGTGGGCACAGATGCTCTTTCTCATCCCAAAGCCCTTCTCTTCTGGAGCCATCCCTATGAACTGAACCCAATACTGCTGTCCAACTGAGGTCCAGGACCTCTAGCCTGAGATGGCCTCACAGTTAGGAGGGCAGGGGCACCGTCGCTCACTGAGCTTTCCGATACTGGGGTGTTTCTCCTTATGGACTTAAGCACTCATGAAAGATGCAATTCACGCACAGGCTGAGACCAGTCTATTGGGTTTAGTGAATGTCAACGCTGCATGTTGACATTAATTGTGGTCCGTGCCCATCTGACCCTTTGGTTGCAAATACCCACTCTAGGCCACTCAAAACTGTGGATTCTGATCTATCTGAGGGCCGCTACAGGTAAAGCCCTCCAGCCAGCCCTGGTCCTCTGTGCAGACTGACACAAGGGGGAGCCCCCCTTGGAGAGCCCCCACCATGCTCTGCTCCCAGGTCTTGAGTGCAGCTGACGGAACTGGAGGAGAGATGACAGACTGGCCCATTCTTAGCAGTCTCTTTACTTCTACCCACCTCAGGAAAGTTTTTCTTCCATATGTTGTATTTATTCTTCTTCACCCCCATCTCAGGCTGTCCCCTAGCCTCAGGCTGTGCTCTCCCCTCACCAAGGAGCACTTTGAGAGTGTTGGGAAAGTTACTGACTCAGGAGGTATTTATAAGGAACAAATTGACAATGAATTACCCATCAACAGATTGTGGTAAAAGAACACTAGCATCTGTTTCCCCAAGGCCCCCAGGACCCTGGAAGGCAAATTGGTTCTTCCTGGACCGAAAAATCAAAGAGAAATCTTTCCCCTGCCATCTCATGGGCTGGCAGGGGAAAGCATTGTGCCAACTCATGAATAATCTTCACAAACTCGTTACCTACCTGACTATGCCTGGTAATGAGGCATCGCCTGACACGAGCATTAATCCAGGTGGCTCCTCCCCTTGTGTAGCCAGGAATGCATTTTTCGATGAGAAATGCTACAAGATTAAAGGGAGATGCGTGCGTTCTTGTCAGAAAAATGAAGAAGTTGTTGCTCTCTGCCAGAAGGCTCTGAAATGTTGCCGCACGCTCCAGCCGTGTTTGAGATGATGAACCCTGAAGACTGGGCTTCCTGGAGAGCCCGGAAGGCCGGCGGTGCCTTCTTCTCTCCCTGGCCTCTTCCCTTCCCTAAGACACTTCAATAAAAAAAAATCAAAATTTTATCAATTTGTCAAGTACTTCACTGAGATGGGGAATGTGAGTGGCTAACCTTGGTCCTCCCTCCCTCCTGGTTATTTTTCTGGGTTTGTTTGTTTCTTTTTTTTTTTGTAAGAAAACCATCCCGAAGCCATCTGGTATTTGTTTTAAAAGGGGGCTCCAGACCTGACCGGTGTGGCTTCAGTTGGTTGCACATCATCCTGCAAAGAGAAAGGTCATGGGGTCAATTCCTGCTCAGGGCACATGCCTGGATTTGGATTCAGTCCCTGGTCTCGGTGTGTGAAAGGCACTGATCGATGTGTCTCTCCCTCTCTGTCACCCTCCCCTCCCCTCTCTATATAAATAAATAAATAAATAAATAAATAAATAAATAAATAATTTCTTTTTTAAAAAAGGGGACTCCGAGAGTCTATAAATAAACAAATCTCAGGAACAAACCTCTAGCTTTCTCTCAGGCAGTCAGCCCTGAGCAACCTGTGGAGATAGATCTATAGATAGATATAGATTAGATATAGATACATAGAGATATGGGTAGGTAGAGAAATGAACGTCTATCAGGATGAAGAGTCATACTAATAATAAGTAGGCGGATAAATAATCCACTTATCAAAACTCTTGGGTGTCACTCCCGTCTAAATTAACATCTTGACTCCATGCCTTTCATTGGAGACATTTATGTACGGCCTATGCGTTTGTCCTGTGTCCCTATGTCTGGATTCGAATTTTCTGATGGGCAGGGATCGAAACTATCTAGCTCCAGTCACCTGGTTCCTGGTCCAAAATGAAACTTTTTTTTTTTTGCTCCCTGCCTGATCCTTCCAGAATTAGGAAACTATTATTTCTTCTTACTTGTATGTCAATGTAATTATTCGCATCAGTTCAATAAGATTATGTTCTCCTTGTAACAAGACACAATGGGAAACACTGGTTATATTACCAAAGCTGTGACTGGAATGTCACATTGCAGCATTATGCACAGAGAATCCAGTTTAAGGAACTTGGCTGACTTCACGGAGCCCTCGTGGGAACACCGACCTGGTCCCTAGCTTACGGGCTTTGCAGCATTACAGGTGAGCCACTTCCTGGCAGGTCCAGGAACCTGAGGAAGTTTGGGGGACTTCAAGTCACTTCCACAATAAAAAAAAAAAAAACCCTGCAGCCAAACATTTCGCCTCTCGTCTTTGAACACGATTACTCACACTGACTGACTTTGTCATTTTAGTGAGAGGGGACCTTAACTCGAACAAGATCTGTGGCTATGGGACCGCTCGCTGCCGGAGGAATTGTAAAAGAGCGGAATTCAGGATTGGAATATGCCCCAACACCTACCTGTGTTGTCTGAAAGGACGACGCCCCCTCACCGAAGCCCCTGAGACACCCAGGCCCACCAGTGCCAGGTCCCTAGCCCCAGCTGGACCCTAAGTCTGCCCTTGTTGAGGCCTCACAGCTCACATCCGGGTGCAGCCCCAGACGCAAGCCAGGGCAGCAGGGGAAGCAGGCAGCAGGGGAAGCAGACCGCGGGCCCCACACAGGTGGTGTCTCTCGGTGGTAAGGGAGGCTAGCGATGCAGCTGCACTGGCTTAACCCTTTCGCTAGTTTCAGAGCTTCGACACTTTCAAAGCTTAAATGAAAAGAGATCCCATCACCCACAAGCCTAAGCAAACATTTATTTTTGCCTAAATTATACCAATTGATTTTGATAATGTTGGTTTTCTGATTAAGAAGTTCTGCTCAGCAGTTATGTGTGTCTTTTGTTCATTACTATGGAAAATAAATCAATGTTAAATGACATTCATTTGGTGTTCACTATAATTGAAAACATCAGCTTTCCGGGAGGGAAGATAATGGTAACACCGCGAGAAGCGAGCAATCTCAGGCACTGAAGCACGTGGCTGTCTGGGAGGCTCACGCCCAGCAGGTGGCATCAGAGAGCAGCACGGCCCTGGGCGGTGCAGGGCGGGAGGGATGGAAACTTTGACCTGGCTTTCTGACCCAACCTGAATTTCGGGGTAACCAAACGATTTATGACGACAAGCTTCTCTGCACAAAAGTAGCCCAGGTAACGGATGACGTGAGAATAACAGAATGAGAATATCACTATCTGGCAGACACCTGGGGAACCCCTGAGCTAGCCAGCTGCAGCAGATGAGAAGGACCGCCTGGGATCGTGCGCCTCCCAAGGCGTGTCCACAAAGCTCGCTTGAGCTATTACACAAACCTGCGCCCTTTTAGCCAAATACAGCTGCACAGCCCGACTTCTCGCAACCCTCCCCTCCCAGCTTCACCCCTTGGTAAGCTCCGCCTCCCAGATTATTTCCAAGAATACCCAAGATGCCCTCCGCTCCCCTGGAAAATGCTTCCGAATCTGTAACTTAGAAGAAAGAACTCTTTAAAGTAGAAACACAGTACCATTTCCACACCAGGCACAAATTCATACTATTTTCTTGATGCAACTTCATAGCCATTGAGTGTTCAAAGGGCTCTGTTTCGTAAGGGCTCTCTTGTCAGCCAGTTTCTGAGAATTAAAATCCTGAAAAGGATCTGGTTTGGTTGTCTTCTCACTGGACGGCGACGTCTACTCGCCAATGCGCCTGTCCCACCCTCCGCCAGAGATCGAGCGTGCGTCTGAGTCGTCTCTGGATCTCGGCCCAGCGGGTACAGCCCCGAGGCTGCCACGCTCCAAACGCGGGAGACTGAACTCGCTGCAGGCTGAAGTTCAACATGGAAGGCCGATCATCGTTCGAAACTCGCCTAATGAAAACCACCAGAGGGAAGACTTCAGTTTGGACATTCTTTCACTTTATAATTTACACATTTGGTATGATTTGGAGTTGGGGGGGGCGCAAACATCCCGTGAGCAGCTTTGCACCCAGGCCCGCACTGGAAAAGGAGCGCGCGTGGGAGACAGCGCAGGCCAGGCACACCCTCGCTCTGGCGCCCCCAGCCGCGCGCGTCACACCGGGGGTGCAGGCAGGTGCCTTGCAGAACACCGGCGCTGGCCACGCACCCTCTGCCATTGTACTCTCCCCCATCTCCTTGATGCAAAGGCACGAAGATCTCACAGCCTGAAAGGCTCAGAAAGAAAAACAATACAATTTATCAGGTGCATGAACCAAATAATTTTAAAAAGAGGCAGAAGCAAGGATGACAATATTCTCGGACGGGTTCTGCTACCCTGCCCATTTGGATGGACGTGGCTTTCAGCCAGCCGGTGGATCGTTCCATAGTATTTCTAGGACACACGACGCCGGCAGGCTCGGCCGGGGCTCCGAGGGCTGTTCTGTGAGGGCGGATGGAACGCCGGCGACCTTTCTAACGACTTACGTTCCCCACCTTGGTCTATCACAGATCGACCCAGCTTCTCACGGGTTGTTCTTTTCAGAAAACTTGGGGAGGCTTATTTTATCTTAAGATCTAGACAGAGCACATGAGACATAATTATTTTTGCCTCGATTTCTTCAGCTACTTAGATCAAGTGATTTTAATGAATTAGAACAATCTTTAGCTGAGTGGTGGCTATTAAAATACTGCTACATTTTGACTCATAATTCATTATTATCAATATCTGAATATCAGATTGCACTTACTTTTTTCTGTTTATAGGGAAAACAAATGTCTGTAAGAATAAGCTGCCTATATACTCTAAAAATTACATGCTTTATCAAAGATCCCAATTGCACACTGAAATAAATATAGACACACCTGGAATAATAAATAGCTGCTGACCAGGTATAAAAGGGCAGAGAGTATGTGGAACGAGGGAATAAGAGAAACATCCATTAGAACCGAGGTAACAGCAGCTTCCCATGGCCCTGCTTTCCCATCCGCCTTCTCCAATGTCCAGCGGCCAGGGCCTCAGCAACTAATGCCCCTTGCCCGGGCCAGCTGCCTCCAGCTCTCTGTCCTCTCTGAATCAGAAGGTTTCCTAGTGCCCAAAGATGAAAGGACAGGAATGGTGTTAACGCTGTGTTCCCTGGCACGGAACCTGTCTGGAGACCTAGATTAGTGACCGCTGCGGACCATGCTGCCACATCCCCTTCCGTGGCCCCAGACCTCCTCCCCTTCATCGTTGCTTCCTTGTTGGCTGCATTTCTGCTGTGCCTGCTTCCCCTCTGTCCATCCAAGTTCACCTTTCTCAGGTAGAGTCTCAGTATGTTCATTTACACAGAGACATTTTCTCTGGACCGAAATGCACCAGCAAGTGAGACACATGGGACAAATACTCCCCTTTCCAAGTCACTGGTGCTCTGTCAGGCACTACATGATGATGGCGCTCTTGACCAGAGCCTACGCCCCTCCAGGTGAGCCCAGGGTAGGCTGCCTGGCGGGGAGGGGGTGCATGCCCAGAATGATGCAAAAAAAACAAAACTTCATGCCTGCCTGCGAGAAGACAGAGGAAGAGAAGAGGAGGAAGAGACTTTTGCTTAGTTATCACTGAAAAATAAAACACTTAGCCCTGGCTTGTGTGGTTCAGTGGATTGAGTGTTGACCTGCCAACCAAGGAGTCGCCAGTTCTATTCCCAGTCAGGGCATATGCCTGGGTTGTGAGCCAGGTCCCCAGTAGGGGGCGCACAAGAGGCAACCACACATTGCTGTTTCTATCCCCCTCTTCCTCCCCCACTTCCCCTCCCTAAAAATAAGTTTAAAAAAAAAGAAAAAAACCCTGTCTCAATGTCAGAATTGTTTAAAGCGGAATTGAATTGAACCCAAAGGCATCAGTGGTCTGGGGAAAAGAGAATAGAAGGGGGGAGGATGAAGAAGACTCAGATGGTTAAAATCAAAAGGGGGAGAGTAAAAGTGACGTCCGAGCCTTGGAGGGGCCACAAAGCAGGGAGAGGCTCGGGCGAGAGAGGACAGGAGCAAAGACTTGGAAGGGCTTTGGAAGCCGCCATCGTCCAGTCTCTGGAGAGTGGGAGATTGGGTCCTACCAGAAAGGTTTCATGCTTTTCTGCACAGTTGGTTTTGCATTGACATAAATATGTTCGGAAGACAGGATACAACTAATGTGACAGCATTAGTTATGTCACCATTTTAAGAAATTGTGATCGGTGATTTTATGTGAATGACATTAATTTTGGCTCTTTTTTCCCTCTTTCTGCTACTCTTCCCTTTTCCTCTTCTTTCTTATTCACCAAACCCTCCCGAGGCACCAAGGCATAGTATTCACATCCTGAGGAAAATGGTTTATCGTTTGTACCAGGAGCAGTGGGAATATAATGTGTCCTTTGTGATGGGACATTGTTTTGAACTGCAGTCCTCCCCCTGCCCCAGGCCACACCCCCAGCTCAGCAATAAAGGGCTCCGGGCTGCCTGCCCACCCACAGGACCTTCCTGGCTGCCTTCCCCTCAGCCACATGAAGCGACTTCTCCTGCCCTGCGCCCTGCTTGTGGCCCTGCTGTTTCCAGGTAGATAGTTGGAACTGTGACAAGGACCAGGGGGCTGGGCTCTCTCTGCACTGGTCGCCTTGGGGACAGGCATCCAGGCTGGGCAGTAAAATACTGAGCCCCCAGAGCATATTTTCTGGTGGGGGATTTCAGGCAGGGGACTCCTGGCTGTGCATCCCAGTGACACTGAACACCCAGGTGGCACCCCTTCCGGGAGAGAGGGCTCCAGCCCTGACCCCACTGCCTTAGCCCTGTAACCTTCCCCTTGCTAAGAAGGACAGGAAGAACCTTGCGTTTCAGGGGTCGGAGTAGTTCTGTTGGTGACGCCCCAGGGGCAGCTCAGCTCCATGTCTGTGAGGTGCTCGGGCTCCTCAGGGGCCCTTTGCTGGTGTCACTGTGCTCTCTCTCTCTCTTTCACACACACACACACACACACACACACACACACACCCACACACACACACACACACACAGAACATTTGTCCCCACCTCCAACCCGCTCCATCCTCCCCCACTTCCTCTTTTCTCATCCAGCTTATTGAGGTGTAACTGTCAGACAAAGAAATGCACATTTGGTGGTACAATTTGATGAGTTTGGGCACGTGCCAACACCGAAATGCATCACGCAGCCGAGGGAATAGACCTGCCCGACACCCTCCAGCTCCCTTGTGCCCCTTTGTGTGTTCTATTCATTTGTTTTTTCTTTGTATCTTTGGCAATAACTCGCACCCAGAGGTCTTCCCTCTTAACCGGTTTTGACACTCACAACGCCGCACTAACTGCAGGTGCTGCGCTGCACAGCGGGTTCAGGAACTGCGGGCCTCGCGTGACTGACCTCGGGTGGCCACAGAGTGGCAGACCCCAGCCCACCCACCCGGCCCCAGAACGTGGCCCTGGGGGCGTGCGCGCAGCCTCCGGGGCCCAAAGACCGGGTGCGCTGGAACCTCTCTGCTGAGTGTTCCCTCACACACAGGGTTCTCCCGGGCGGAGTATGTTAACCACCACGGCATCGCGGGGCCCCGAGCGCCCACGGAAGAGGCCCGCGGACGAGGAACAAACGCGTCTCAGGTGTTCCGCCACCAAGCAAAGCGCAGCTACTTAGCGCGCACCCCCCCTTACCCAGGTGAGTGAGCGCAGCGCGACGAGGCCATGCACGCGGCGCACGTGTGAGTGGGGGAAGGTGGGTGCGCGGGCTGTGTTGCATGAGGACACTGCGTGGGTCGCTCAGGCCGCCCTGCCTGTCAGATGGGTCTGGGGGACGTCTTACAGCTTCCCAAGGGGAGAAAAATACCGAGGCCACTTCTCTGACCTCACTCAAACCCGAGAGCCAGAGGACATGAGGCCTAGTAAGAGTCTGTCTTCCTCCCTGGGCCTTGGGGTCCGTTCCCTGCTCAGGACTTCCCCTGACTGGGTGCTGCATCCGGGGTGGGCTGGCTGGGGAGACCCTGGGGGACGGGGCAGGGCGGGGGGGGGGGTGGTGGAGGCGGAGATGGCAAAGGACAAGCAGCCCACAGCTTCGGATCCTTAAGGACATAGAGAGGATAGTAATTTCCAAGACGCCCTTAATTTCAGATTCATTCCTGATACTGACACAGGAATAATTAGGCTGGAAGCTCAGTGGCTGGAGGAGAAAATTCTCTCTTAATTGCTTTTTTTCTGACTCAGGAAAAGAGTTCCATTATTCCCTGTATTGGCATAATACCTCCATCTATGTCTGGAAACATACATTCTGCAGAAGTTTAGTTTAAAAAAAAAAAAGAGCCCTGGCTGGTGTGGCTCAGTGGATTGAGTGCTGGCCTGTGAAGCAAAGAGTCACAGGTTTGGTTCCCAGTCAGGGCACATGCCTGGGTTGCCGGCCAGGTCCCCAGTAGAAGGCGTGCAAGAGGCAACCACACATTGATGTTTCTCGCCCTCTCTTTCTCTCTCCCTTCCCCTTTATAAAAATAAATAAAATATGTTTAAAAATAAAAATAAAAATAAAAAACTAAAATAAGCATTCTTAAAATACTTAATCAGCCATGAAAGTCTGTATGAATCCACCATCAAGTCATCTTATCCCCATTTCCCACCATTTTTAATGTATTTTATTGATTATACTATTACAGTTGTCCCATTTCCCCCCTTTATTACCGTCCACCCTGAATGCCCCCTCCCACTGGCATTCCCCCCTTAGTTCATGTCCATGGTCATACATATAAGTTCTTTGGCTTCTACATTTCCTATACTATTCTTAACTTCCCCCTGTCTATTCTCACCTACCATTTTTGTGCTACTTTTCCTTGTACCTTTTCCCCCATTCACCCCCTCCCCTTCTCTAGTGATAACCCTCCATGTGATCTCCATTTCTGTGAATCTGTTCCTGTTCTAGTTATTTGCTTAGTTTGTTTTTTCTTAGGTTCTGTTGTCAATAGTTGTGAGTTTGTTGTCATTTTACTGTTCATATTTTTTATCATCTTATTTTTCTTAGATAAGTCGCTTTAACATTTCATATAATAAGGGCTTGATGATGATGAACTCCTTGAACTTGACCATATCTGGGAAGCACTTTATCTGCCCTTGCATTATAAATGAAAACTTTGCTGAATAGAGTAATCTTGGATGTAGGTTCTTGTCTTTCATGACTGAATTCTTCTTTCCAGCCCCTTCTTGCCTGTAAGGTTTCTTTTGAGAAATCAGCTGATAGCCTTATGGGAACTCCTTTATAGGTAACTGTCTTTTTTTCTCTTGCTGCTTTTAAGATTCTCTCCTTATCTTTCATCTTGGGTAATGTAATTATAATGTGCCTTAGTGTGTTCCTCCTTGGATCCAACTTCTTTGGGACTCTCTGAGCTCCCTGGACTTCCTGGAAGTCTATTTCCTTGGCCAGATTAGGGAAGTTCTCTTTCATTATTTTTTCAAAGATGTTTTCAATTTCTTGTTCTTCTTCTTCTCGTTCTGGACTCCTATGATTCAGATGTTGCAACATTTAAAGTTGTTCCAGAGGTCCCTAAGCCTCTCCTCATTTTTCTGAATCCTTGTTTCTTCATTCTGTTCTGGCCGAATGTTTCTTCCTTCCTTCTGGTCCAAAGCATTGATCTGAGTCCCAGTTTCCTTCCCGTCACTGTTGGTTCCCTGTACGTTTTTCTTTATTCCACTTTGCATATCCTTCACTTTTTCTCTGTTGTGCAACCATACTCAACCAATTCCATGAGCATCCTGATGACCAGTGTTTTGAACTCTGTCTGATCGGTTGGCTATCTCTTCACCACTTTGTTGCATTTTTTTCAGGAGCTTTGATCTCTTCTTTCACTTGGGCCTTTTTTTTTTTTTAGTGCGTGTTGGCACACCTGTTATGTAGTAAGGGGCAAAGCCTTAGGTATTCGCCAGGGTGGGGCAACCCGTGTCACTGTGTTGTGGTGCTATCCGTGGGGGAGGGGTCCGAGAGGGAACAGTGCTGCTTGCTCAGCTCTGGGCTGGCTTTCAGTCACTTTCTTCACTACCCACAAGCAAAGCGGGCCCCCCTGGTGCTGATCCCCAGGTGGGTGGGCTTGTGTACATTCTAGGACCCTGTCTCTCCACAGACTCTCCTGTGAGGCTGGGAGTTTCTCCCACCACCGCAACCCCCACAGGTGTTTACAGTCAGAGGTTTGAGGCTCTATTTCCCTGCACTGGAACCGTGGGTTGCTCGGTCTGCCTCGTTCCCCAGTTGTTCCTCCCAGTTTATCTGCCCAAAAATGTGGGACTGTCTGCTCTGCCAGCTGCCACCTCATCACCTGGTCCTCCAGCCACCACCTTGCCACAAGTCCCCTCTGCCCGGCTGCCCATCTGCACCCCTACTCCTAATCTAGATGAATGTCTTTTTCTTTAACTCCTTGGTTGTCAGACTTCCATACGGTTTGATTTTTTGTCATTTCTGGTTGGTTTTTTTGGTTTTTAAATTTGTTGTTGTCCTTCTTTTGGTTGTATGAGGAGGCACAGTATATCCACCTACACCTCCATCTTGGCTGGTGGTCTCCCACCATTTTTTGTCATCTCCATGGTACCCAGGCCATGTCAGGACTCCTATGAAATAATGTGCTCTCTCATTTCTTTGCACAGCACCCATTTAAATTTAAAATTCTCTGTGACCTTGTCTGGCTATGTTCCCAAATCACTTTTTTTTCCCCCAAATCACTTTATACAGACTCTACAATGAGCTTATAATATGGAATTTACATATTTGTTTATGTGTCTGTTTCCCCACCAGACTCAGACTTCCTCAACTGGAGAACATCCCTCAACTCTGTCACAGGATGTTAAAATGTCCTAGATAATCTTGCCTTGAAGGAATGAGGAAGTTAATTAATTTACTAAATGAATAGAAATCTGTGTGTCCTCCTCCCAGTACTTGTTCTATTCATGTTTTTCTCTCTCTCTCTCTCTGCTGTTCCCCTTTCTTCCTAGAGAATTATGAGCTTTCTGTATGTAACAGTGTGTTTGGGAAGTTGCTAAAACAAAATATTTCAACTGAGATTCAAAATGGTATAGTGAGTGAAGAGGCAGACCATTCTGTATTAAAAAGGTGACCAAAATGCCAGTGAGAAAAGCTTAAATCCTCACCCTGTCTAGAGCATTATAGAAGAGTGGAAACTGAGGCAGGGTTTCAAAATGATTGTTTCAGAAAGGTCCATTGGTGGGCTGAGCAGGAAGCACATGGGGCCCAGCTCCCACTGCAAGCTGCAGAGACATCCCTCAGCAGAGCCACTTGGAGAACTTAGATGTGTGTCTCATGCTGTCTGGGGCTACCATGGACTGACCTCTCCCCTGCCCTCAATACCCAACAGCGGGCAGTTGCCCAGGTGAGCTCTCCAAATGGCAGGTGCAAAGGAGAGGTTGATGCTGCCTTGAAATGGGCCTGCATTCCAATGCTAATGTTGGATATTTCTCTATACAGAACCTACACCAAATTTCAAAGTCATCAACTGCCGAAAAAGTGAAGGCCGCTGTCAAGAATATTGTAATTATATGGAAATACAGGTCGGCTACTGCTCTAAGAAGAAGGAAGCTTGCTGCCTGATTCCAGCCTGAGGCTGCTGATTGGGGAGCTGAGGCTCCACCCCCCCGGGTGTTCCCCAGGCACAGCACCCACTCAAGTGCAGGTGTTGAGGGGAAAGACCTGAAAAGACAGGAGCTGACACTGTCATCTCTGCCAGGAAGTCTCAACATCTTATGGTAGCAAAAAAAAAGGCAAAAATGGGCTACTCATGTGATCTTAGAGAAATCTTCAAAATCACACATTCTTTGTGGGTCATGTAGCAGTAATAAAGTTTTATAGGAAAGCATTCAAGTATTTCATTCTGTTATGTTAAAAATGTGTTTTAGTGTCTACCTTTGCTCTAGGTACTGACATTATAATGAATTGAGAACGTGAACATGTGTAGGGGGACATGAAATAAATAAAAAAAGGAAATGCTACAAATTCTCGTATGTGGATATATCCAAGGAAATACGTGGAGAAGGAAAATTTAAGGGAATTAAGAGAGGATTCTTGGAGATATCTGAGCAGGATTTTGAAAGATAAGCAGGAGTTTGTTAAGTGGGAGAGAGAGGCAGATGTTTCCGGACAAAAGGTAGAGTTTATAGAAATGCATGGAGACATGAAGATCGATTTGCTAAGGAAATGCAAAAAGAAGGACTAATTCCAAGTGTATGATGAGGCTGGTGTGGGAATACTGAATGAAATTGTCCAAGAAAAGTATTATGCTAAACACCTTGGACCGTTAAACAAGAGAAGGTTGTCCATTGCTCCAAGCCAGTGGCATCAACAGAGTTTCCATTTTAGAATGTTTATTATCCTCACAAAAGCCTGGAAAGGTCTGAGATTGGAAGCAGGAACACCAGGGAAGAGAAGAGAGCAATGGGTGGAGTCCAAGGGCAGCCATTCAGTGACAAAGTGGAGAGGGAACAGAGGGACAGAGATTGAAGAGGGAACAGAGAGGGACATGAAAAGACCAGTGTACAGGTTCAGTGACGGAGAAGAGGGAAAGACCTATGTTCCCCGAGGCCACACAGAGGACAAGGGGACCTGGAGGGGCCTGGAGAAGACTAGACCAGCTCTGGATGCATTGAAGTTGAAGGTCTGAGACATGCACCCATGGAATCCTG